TGGCGCTCCCCCCGCCAAGCGCGCTCTCCCCGCAAGCGCCCGTGCGCCATGTGCCCGGGGCCAGGCCAGCCCCAAGCACCTGGTGGGCGCATTGAAATGCCCCCGCGGGCACCGTGTTGGGGACCACGGCTCTGGAGGATGCTTCTGTTGCATTTTCGTTGGTCCAAGTTGGCAATTTTCATCAGTGACTTTACTATTTGAATATGCATCAGACTTTCACTTGAAAAAACCTTTGTCTTTGTTTTGAGAGTGATTTGTTTCTAAATGTCTTTATAGTTTAGCAGGTATCAGAACTATTGGAAAGAACACCATGCACTGTGCAGAGGGACATCTTTATTTCCAATGCAAAGTAATCCAAAAGAGCAAGAATTCTCATCACACTTGCATTTCTTGTTGCCTGCTGCTAATCTGGTGGATGGGAATGATTTCCACTTCAACAGCTCACTTTTTCATTTTTCGGTCACAAAAGGCTATGTATGATTACCCTTCTTTTCCTGTCCCAACATTGTGTTCATTTGTTCCAACCGAAGTCCAATTGTTAGAAGCCAAAGGTTCTTGTTTTAGTCACTTATCCATGGAGAATATGCTTGGAAGTAAGGGTAGGCGCGCAACATTGAATGAAAATGAAAATGTAGCCTAAAGAGCAAGGTATTGCAACAGGCTTCACTCCTAAGAATGAGGGTAATATTGTCTTAAATCTTTGACTTGTGAAGAGCTAGGCCAGTCGGTTCAATCAGGCATTTGAATCATTTAATATACATCATTGAGCCTGCAGCTTGGTGCAACTTCATTTACGTTCGCTGCAGTCTCAGGGATTCACCAAGCTACGTGTAGTTTTAAATACCCCCTGCCACCATTTCATGTTACAATGTAGAGCTTATTTCTTGACTATTGCCATAATAATTCTCAACAGGTTCGTTTTTTAAAAAAACACGTCTTCTCAATTTTTATCAACAAATGTTGCTTCATACAAACTGTCACTAATATTTTCTGGCAAAGCCCTTGGATGAAGCCCTAGGGCTCCACAGCGCACACTTTGGGAAGCCTTGAGCTAGAAAGCTACTTTGACCTGAAACAAAATGTTTCCTGCTTGGAAGCCCTTTTAGAGCATCTGTGACAAGACTGAAATGCTCACTCAAAAGCTTAAACCAGGCCTTTTTGTAAAGAAAGCAAATCGGACCTGAAACCGCTTTGAAGTGCACCATAAAAACTGGATTTAGTATCATCCTGGAGACCTGTGGGAATTTATCCAGAATAGATGAACATCTAACCTTGCGTGACTTCAGACCACCAGAACCAATTAGAATTCTAGACCAGCCCTCTGCACAGGACTGATAGTTGTTCCTGGCAAGCTTAGTGAACATGCTGGGTTCTTCATCTGGCAGCTGCTGCTCAGAGGCAGAGACATTAGGTGTCACCATTGCCACTCTAGAAACAACGACGACAAAATTGTATTTCCATGGTGCTTGGAGATGCAATTAAATGCTATGTCGTTTTGTAATCGCCCATTCTTTTCCAAACCCGAGCTCACCGGAAACACCACTCCTTCAGCTGTCGGAACACTTGGATACTGAAAGGAACGGCATGCTCCCTAATGGGCCAGATGCGAGTGAATAGAGGCGACTCTCAGACGCAAGACTGGCAGGATTAAAAAGCCCTAAAGAGTTTAGGCAGAACCTGCTTTGCAATTAACTCTGCAAGAGTTGCTATTTAATGTAGCTTCCCTAACGAGCTTGAGACAACTGTGCATGCAGCATGCTGATGGAGACCTCCTGCTTCCTTTTATGTACTCAGTCTAAGAGACTGGTAGGCCCTGAAGCGTGTATTAAACTTTCTGAGCGATGTCCTACAGGGCTTGAAACAAGAGAAAAGTATTTCTTGTTGCTGTAGCATAAGGCTTAAACAATGAGAGGACCCCGTTTTCTGGCTGGACTCTCTGCTGATCTTCATGCACCAGTGGAAGACAGGAACAGTATTCAGGGCAGCATGTCTTGGCCATTATCACTTCTGTGCTTCAGAATAGAGCCATGACCTGAAGGGAGGGCATTTCCCAGTCAGTAACCAGCTGCGCTAAGACAAGACCACTTGATTCTTTAGCCATTCACCTACAGTGACAGGGGTGGGGAAAAATCACTACTTTACCTCAGGACACTTGGCTGTCCAGAAGCTTTCTGGAGAGTTCCTGTGCCAGGGACATGGATTCCCAGCAGTGTGGGATGCTCATATTGTTCATCAGACCCACCTCTCCCTGCTATTCGACTTACACATCCATCTGGTGCCCAGCTCCATCTCCAGCATTAGACAGAAGCGAGAGAAGCAGAGTTCAGAAAGCCAGTGGCATCGGCAGGTAGAAGCCTCCTGTTCCAGTGCTGACAGCTCCACTGGGCTGAAGAAAAATTGGCAAGCAGCAGGCTTCCTTCACTTTTAGAGGGGAGCAGGCTGGTGCTGATGCAGCTTGGGCAGAAGAGAACATAACTGGCGCAGGATACGAATTTAGAGCTTAGAATTCTATAGAAATTTGAGTCACATTTGTAACTCTTCTGCGTCAACATGACTCACATTGCATACTTATTCTAACAATCTTGCCTTGCCAATCTCACAGGAAGCCTTGAGGAACAATTAAAGTAACTCACTAGAATCTTAATTAGATATGTGAAGGGAGTCGTACCTTGGTGTTTTCGTACCTCGGTATCTTCGGTGGTCTGGACTATCAGTGTCAGCGTCGTCTGGTCAGGGTTGTCCTGGCGCGCTCCTGACAGGACCTCTACTCCGTTGT